ACTTTAACATTAAAAGTAAATGCATACATTCATAAGGATTTTGGCAAAGTGTTAATGATCCCTGAGCCAGTCTCCACTCAGGACTCTATTGACTCCCTGATCTCCTTAACTCGTAGCAAAATTCAGATTTATGTTTTCTTCATTACCTTTGAGAGGCTTTTTATTCTACAAAGGAAGTCCATTGTTTGAAACAAAGCACAAGATGAAACTGTTTACTCATGATTAGCCCGTTGACTGTAAAGCTATATTTAATAAACTGTTATTCACAGTTGATTAATAATGTCAAATTAGTTTCTTTATCATCTTAGTAGCAAAACATGTCTCTCTCTATCTTTTCCTCTTTTCCTCTATCTCTGTCTATGTCTTTGTCTCATATTTAGTTGATAGGCTTCTCTCACTTTCACTCACTCTCTCATATATAGTAGCTAGGCCTATCTCTTTTGTCTCTGTTATCATGGTGCAGTGGCACGAGGGGGAACAGAAGTGGGGATATGTTCTTTCACACTATCAATTTTGTTGTTACTTTCATTCATTATGCCTTCTCTCTTCCTCTTTCTTTCCCTTTGTTTTTGTCTATCTCTATCTCTATCTATCTATCTATCTATCTATCTATCTATCTATCTATCTATCTATCTATCTATCTATCTATCTATCTATCTATCTATCTATCTCTCTCTCTCTCTCTCTCCATTGCTCCATGCTCCATTGTTTAATTAGAATGCAACCTGCCAGTATGAGACTTACATATCTTGGTGCATAAATTTTAAGGGCTACAAACCTCAACAATAACCTAACCTAAGCTAACCATAAAAAAAAAAAAAAAAAAAAAAAAAAATTATTCAATTTTCTGTAAAACAACCTGTGTTGCCATTCATGGTGGTCAGGAATAGGATCCTGAGCATGGAAATAGCTTCCTCCCTAGAGTTGGCACTCTACTAATCATGGCTCATGGACAGTGCATTTCACACTTGCTTATCTATGGAAATAATGCAAAGGCCACTTCCTAAACGGCAGATGATTCTAATGACCCTCTAAGGACCTTGTGGACTTGTGGAGAGTCTTTCTTATCAATCCAGTCTTAAGCCGAAGTGCTCACATTGGCAAATTTGTGACCCTGGACTACAACTAATTTTTCCCATGACAGGATGTTCTTGTCACCCACCCTTCAGATATTCTTGTAGAGGACAAAATATTGAAGTCATCAGTAAAAAAAAAAATCTGCAGACAGGAACAGTAGCACCAAAAATAAAGGGAAAAGATAATGAAAAGATTCGCTCAGAGCCCAAGTCCAATTAACGCTCCCAAGTTTCAGCTCTTTCTTGTCATGCATACTGAGGTGAAGAAAATGTTTCCCCCAGGGGCATTGGGCGGCAGGGCACCTCGTCGTCCCTCCCCTCGGACAATGCCCAAAGCGCACACCCAGACACAGGAACTTAGACTGTTGAATAAATTTGTGACATGGGGTTGGAGGGTCTCTGGTGAGTGCTTCCGTACTTTAGAGAATTAAGAAAGAATAAAGAATTGGTCTTTGCTGGAGAATTAACCCCTTGGTGCCGGGTGACACCGATCGGCGTGCAAACAAACCGCTCAAAAGCTGGCGGGCGGCTGTACGCCGCGGCAGCACACCAAAGCGTGGCGAGCCAGTGATTCGGGCTGATGTCCCCTACTCACACGCCTTTGTTTGCTAGAGCGTAGAGTTTTTTTTTTTTTGTACCCCCCGCGTCATTGGGTTAAGAAAGAATGAATTATTGGTCTTTGCTGGAGCGCGAAAGCCGCAATCATTTGACACTCGGCTATGCCATTAGTGGGTTAGACTTCAGATGGCAAACTTTTCACAGCAGATTACACCAAGTTTCAAGTGGATTTGAAGAGAATGTAACCAATAAAGTTAAAAAAAAAAAAAGACGTACCAGCCAGTATCATGTAAACATTTTTCAAAAAATTCTTAGAAATCCTACAGAGTCCTTCCCCCCAAAGAGTCAAATAAGCGGATTTCACGACACACGACACGATACAAACACCACTAGCAATCACATCACACAAAATACAACTAAAACAGAACTAGTAACTATTCTACAGATAATAAATATGATGAAATTGTCACGAAGATGAATCACGAGACGAAAAGACACAATTTTTTTTTTTTTTTTTTATCCTCTTCTCCTTTTTTTTCATCTCCTCTTCTCCTTATCTACCACTTCTCTTCCACGATTCTCCTCCCAGAGACCGAACTGTCATCAGCTATCACAAAATTACCGATAAATTACTCCCAAATAACAAGATAAAGGAATAAAAGGGAAAAGAAAACCCATGAACTTGCCTTCCTGTGTTTACGTCTCGCCTGCGTTGCCAACTAGGGATTTTTTCGGAGGAATTTTTAACCCTTGGGGATAAACTCTACGGGATTTTTTTTTTTTTTTTTTTTATGGCCGGTGTTATTACTTCTTTTTAATTATCAAATTTATTGTATTTTCCTCTTCATTTTTGTGTCTTTGGATTGCTGAGTATGTGCACGTAAACATTCAGATTCCTTATATTTTATGTGGAAATATTAATAAAAAAGGCCGGTTTTATTATTTCTTTTAGTAAATATATATATATTTTTCCTCTTAATGTGTGTCTCTGGATTGCTGTATAAACATAAAAAGATAAATAAAGCAATTAAAAAATTAACTTATAACATAAGCCTCGTAAATGACATTTTTTTTTTTTTTATGACAACCATTTTATTCTCTCAGACAAAGGTCTCCATGCAACAATTTCTTTATTTCTGGTACAAAATACCCATAATTTCTTTTTACTTCCCTTGCAATGCAAAATAGGAGGTTCAGGTGATCTGTTTGTCTCTGTTATTTTTTGTTGGTCTGATTGTTTTGTCTGTCTGTCTGTCTGTCTGTCTGTCTGTCAGCGTCGCGTACTTTTTACTGGTATTCGTATTTCAATAATTATGCAATATTGACCACCCTCTTTATCTTGCAAGTTGAGGCATACACCCATACATACGCACACACCCACCTCCCCACCGAACCACATCCCACACACCCACAATGTATGTAGATAGATAGATATAAATATAATATGTATGTATGAATATAAGCATGTGTGTGTGTGTGTGTGTGTGTGTGTGTGTGTGTGTGTGTGTGTGTGTGTGTGTGTGTGTGTGTGTGTGTGTGTGTGTGTGTGTGTGTGTGTGTGTGTGTGTGTGTGTGTGTGTGTGTGTGTGTGTGTGTGTGTGTGTGTGTGTGCGAGTGCGTGAATGTGTGTGTGTGTGTGTGTGTGTGTGTGTGTGTGTGTGTGTGTGTGTGTGTGTGTGTGTGTGTGTGTGTGTGTGTGTGTGTGTGTGTGAGTGCGTGAAATTTGTGTGTGTGTGTGTGTGTGTGTGTGTGTGTGTGTGTGTGTGTGTGTGTGTGTGTGTGTGTGTGTGTGTGTGTGGTGTGTACGTGCGTGCGTGCGTGCGTGCGTGCGTGTGTGTGTTTGTGTGTGTGTGCGTGCGGGTGCGTGAATGTGTATGTTCGCATGGGCGCTCATGCTTTCCACTTATACGATTTTAATCAAACCTAATATCCAATAGATTCATGAAAATGTCTCCATCCATACACAGTCACGTATATTCCGACACACCTATTAAGTATGAGATGATGTCAGTAACCTTGATAGAAGAAACCGCTGTGTTCGCTCCAACGACACTTCCTGTTAACATGAAGACGAATGCAAAACCATTTTTTTTCCTATTTAAATAACAATTGATAATTTACATAGTATAAACCTCTCGTATTAGCTTTGCGCATGATGTTTATAATTTCACTAGTTATTTTTAAGGAACAGAACGTAAGAATATTTCTATTAACGAGGTCTGACTACACTAACTCAGAACTTGCCTCATGGTCTTCCTGCATGAAGGACGTAACTATGAGGCACATAACATGATGGCCACATGGTGCATGGGAGTAGACTGCATGTTTTGTGTTAACAATAATAATTGTAATCATAATAATATTACTATTGATATTGATAAGGATAATTGATAAGGATAATTATATTAATAATGATGATGATGATGATAATAATAATAATAATAATAATAATAATAATAATAATAATAATAATAATAATAATAATAATAATAATAATAATAATAATAATAATAATAATAATAAAAATAATGATAATGATAATTATAATGATAACAATCATAATAATAATAAAAATAACAATAATAATAAAAATAATATAATAATAATAATAATAATAATAATAATAATAGCATATCAACAATAATAATAATGACAGTAATAATAATAATAATAATAATAATAATAATAATAATAATAAAAATAACACTTATAACATTACCAATACTAATACAATGTAATTCTATTGATAATAATAATGATAATAATGATAATAATAATAATAACAATGGTGATGGTGATAATAATAATAATAATAGTGATAAGAAATGAAAATATTTACAATAATAATGACAATACAAATAACTAATAATAAAAATAATAATGATAAATGCACCTCACCTTCTCAATATAATCTAAGCATTAGTAAGAAAAAAAATGTACTTAATTTGGAAATGTACTACCTTCCTACTCTCAACTTTACTAAATGACTAATGGTTAAAGCAAATAACTATGTCAGACATCAAGGTCATATAGCACTGACTCAGTTTATCCATGCAAATCACTTTCAGTGTGTTTGACTAAATCCAAAATATGTTCCATTGCCTATTGTCTCCATGCTACCTTCTTAGTAAGAAATGATGTAACTGAACTGAAACAAAAACGGTAAGAAAGGCCCAAGGGATGACAATAATTTTACATGCACTATTAAGCTTGTGTATTTGTTGTTGATACAAACCTTTTTTTCAATTATAAATATTTCTTTTTGATATGGTATTGATATTCCAAGGAAAAAACACCTTACATGTCTTTCAGGATGATCTACTCAAAAAACAATGTACAACAGTGATACATTTTATTTTGTACATTATATTTATCATACAAAAACATCTGGAAAGTACAAAATTCTGCAAAATATTATCATACACTTTGTTAACCCTATTACATACACCTTGATGCACTGTGAGCACAGCAAAATGACTAAAGACAATTCATATTCCCTATTAAGAAACGTGCTTTATGGCAAAACACAAACCCTGTCAGTACAACCACATTTCTCAAACATTTAGATGCATTCTTGTTGGACACAGAAATCTCATCTAAATCAGTCTCATATAACATAAAAACAAAAACTATTCAGATAAAGTCAACAAGTATAACTTATGTTAACATGATTCAAATATCAGGTATAGCATTAATGGGTTTTGCTATAAATTATGTTTAGAGCTTCAATAATCACATTAATTGTACATAATCATTACACTTCTGACTCTTTTTTTAAAAGTGTTATTATTTACTTTTCAGAATAAGAAAAGCTATAAAAAAGCAAAACTAGAAATAATTTAATTTGCTTTCAAGCACTTTCTTCCTACCCACAACCTTTTAATTCATAAAAAATGTTAAATCTATAATGCTTAATTCATACATATTATAATAGTATACAGTGTTTGAATTTCCATCAATGCTGTGATCCCTGATGTGGTCTAAATTAGTGCAACAACAACAACAACAACTGATATCTGGATTCATGGTTAGGGTGTACAAAAGTTAAGTAGCTCTTTAGGTCACATTCATAAATATTTAGTTTCACTTTTCTTCACTGTGGAAAAATAAGAAAGGTATAGTTTACATTTTCAATACTGTTTCTTCAAGCACTTTTACAAAAGACACTGATATGAATATATGATATATCCTGAAAGGACACTATTTGCATTACTCTCAAGATAATGCAATAGTCTCGGAGGGTTTGGTATCTGGCACTTCATTATGAAATAAATAAATCACAGCCTGTCTAACCTAAGTACACACCAGGTACTAATTCATCTCTACTAATATCCGAAACAAATATCTAACAAAACCGGACATCAGACGAATGAAACGTGCTTACCAATGATAAACCACACTATAACACAATAAACTGAACTTTTATATCCAAAACACACCAAGATTTTTGACATTCCATGGTTAAGGTCATCTAGTAATTCCTAGAACAGAATACAATCAAAATTGCATAAATAAAAAAGATAAATGGCCTGTCAACCAGTCACCCAGACTTAAAATACATGTCGCCCAAAAGATGCAAGCATACTCTTTTTTTTCTTTTTTTTTGTTCTTATTCAGATGAACTGTTTTTGTTGCCACTCTCTTCAACATATAGCTGCATCTTGCAAACCTCTGTCTGTAGGGTCTTGAGGGGGACGATATGTGAGTCTGGAACCTCCACTTGTTCCTTCTCGGCTTCAACCCAGGGGAATTCCTTAGGGTCAGAGCAGGAAGTCAGTTTATGGAAGCAAAGGGTTTGTAAATCTGATCAAAGGAGCCATTTTGACTCAAATCTTAACACCATAGTTCCATGAAATAATAATGCTCGGTCTAAGTTTTTTCTAATTCTGAGGGTTCAGGTTACTGAAACACTATCAACAGAACATGAAAATTTCAAAGTATCATTAAATGCATTCCCAAGATTCTGAGCTATCTTTCTTTTAAAGAAAAGTAATTATCATGAATTCCAAGGAAAGCTGTCTACCATAAATGATAACATGTATCACCAAAATGCAAAGAACACTAAAATCTGCCAAAAAATGGGAGAAAGAACCACAGCTATCCTACTAAATACTAAGACCCTCCCTTACCTGATGCTGCTGATCAGTACTCATTGCATTTGGCACATGCTCGGGAACATGAATCTGCATAACAAAGGAGCAGCCGGAGGGGAGAGGCTGAAGCAAGGAGTCGCTGATGCTGAGTTTGAGGCAAAAGGCTCTCAGAGCTTCTTCCATGCGAGTCAGCTGGGGATCTTGTCTGTGGAGGTAAATCATATGGAGGTCACCCTACTTCAGCTTTGCTTTCAGAATTGAATAATTTAATTGAGATGGGGAAATATAGCAAATACTTAATAATAATAATATAGAGAGAAAGAGAAGTAGGAGAGTAAGAACAGAAAAGAGAGAGAGAGAATATTCATCACACAAACCAAATAAGAAGCACCAGCCGAAGCCCTTCAGTACCTGATATCGTGAGGTTTTATTGGCCGCTGTACAATCTCGAAGACAAATTTTTCGACTGGAACTCCAGTCGAGGATAGGACAACTACCACTACTTTTTCGACTTCTCCTTTCTCTAATACTGGTCTAATTGAGCTCACACACTCACTAATGTATGTCCTCAGTTCAGGATGGATACACATCTGTTAATAGAGAAAAGTATGTTAATACAGTTTGCTATTCAGTATAAATTATGCATTCTCTTGATATAATTCAAGGAATTTTCACAAATGTTAGAATTGAGATAGAAATGATCAAGTTATACACTGGTAAATATGGTCACAAAGTTAAAGAAGAAGAAAAGGACTAAAAGGTCAGGATCTGAA